TTTGGGGTTTTGGGTTTGGGGCTTTGGGGGGGCCTTAAGAATGAAAGTAGGGTTCCTGCAAGAGAATTTTAAGGAACCTATAAGGGTTATACTAGAAGGGTTCTATTAGGGAATTATTAAACGAGGTGGTAATTAACTATTCAGGCCCCTATGTTTATTGCGCTCACCCAAACGTCAATTTTCTTTGTACAGGAACTGCTTCAGCCACCCAGGCAGCCACCGGCCCTAAGCCCACAAGTACTCGTGACCTTCAGTGCATATATACTAGGGGTCCAAAGAAGCAGGATCCCTTCAATGTTCCCATCTACATTCTAATATATTACTGTAGATGATATAAATCCTGTATAAATTTAAGGACCCTAAACTATGGTATTTATGGGATATTCCTTACTATGGGTAATGCAGGATTTACATCATCAACCGTATGATATACCCCAACAGCCCGTTCTATGTACGGCCCCATTTTATGCTTCCAAAGACCAGAATGCCAGACCGGGGCGTCTTGAATTACGCAGAGACTTCGAAAGCCCCTAAATTCAGGACTATGACTATGACTTAGAGGGTTTAGGGTTTAAGGTTTAGGGGTTTAGGGGTTCAGGGTTTTAGGGGTTTAGGGTTTAGAGTTTACGATAGCAGGATCCCTTATATGATTTAAAGTATATTGCTTAACTAAGGGTTGTTGGAAGGTCTGGGTACTTGAGGCTGTCTCCCTGGTGGCCGTGGCCCCAACAGGGCCGTTGCTGGAAAACTGGCGCCTTTGTGCATGATTTTCGAAAATCTTCGCCGCTTGGGGTGGCCATGTGCCAGGCTTTTACTGTAATGTAGGGGCATGAGAAATTATCAAGACCAATCCTAGCCCTACTCTAAGAATGCAGGCGCCTATATTAATTGTCGGTTTTTGCACACCTCAAGCAGGCCGTCTCAATGAGAGTGGCAGCGGCCCGATCGATTCTCACGCTACTGAGATCTTTACAAAACTAGCTTCCCCAGTAGTAACCTTTTGCTCTTTGTTTTTTTTAGTTCCCGTATTAAAACCAAATAGTAGGAAAAGCGTACTCTTATTAGGAAGGGGTTTCTCAGGAACCCAGAGAAGGTCGCACACATCTCTGGTTGGGGAGATCTTTGCATACAGGGCCGTACAAGTGAAAGTAGTTGGGATATGGGCCGCGTCGGAAGTTACATCGATGGTAAGTATGGCTGAAGGTTCGACTGGCTGTCTTGGATGGACAGCATCTGCAAGACATCTCTGGCTAGTAATGTAGTTTGAGGGGCGGCACGTCTTGCCGCTGCCATGGGCTTTCTGCGAAGCCATCCCCAAACCAATTTTGTTTGAGCCTTCCGACCGCTCAGGGTGATCCAAAGTACAGCGCGGAACCGCGGACGCATCACCTGGTCGTCAGGCTTTGCCATCGCCTATCCAACTCAGCTTGCTGGTTTTTGCTTTCGACAGACCATAATCCCTGAACCCTACACTGGCACGGGTTTGGGAGGCCTTAATTGAGTCTCACTTAAGTCACTTAAGTCTCCCTAAACCCTGGACCCTAAACCGTAGCTCACTGAGTTCGACAGCGGCTTGTACAACAAAAACCGAAGATGGCAGCGGTTACCAAAAAAAAGCCCCTGGCAGAGGTCGGGTCTTCTGATCCTTCCTCCTTAACTTAGCTTGCGGAGCGGACCCCTGGAAATGCACAAAAACCGTAGGCTTTGAAGGTCGTATCCCCTCAAGGGCGTAAGTTTCCTTTTGTGTCAATCCTTCATGTTTGTCTAATTGTTTGGGTTCCCAGTGGAGGCCTACAACCTTTCAACTGAAGGCAACAGTCTTTCCACGAGGTCGGACTAGAAGCAGTGGGAATCTGTCGTCATGTAAACACTTTTTTCGATGCGGCGCATGTGAATGTGGGGGAGCCTATGACACTCACGGATGTTGAGTCCTGATTCTAGGCATTGCCCAAGCTCGTGGAACGCATGCGCCCGCTGACGCTGACATAACCTATTGTCTCAGAACTCGTGTCGTGTGCCGTGGGAGCCTAAACCCTAAACCCTAAACCCTAAACCCTAAACCCTAAACCCGAGCCCTGTAGCAAAGCTGCCCTCCCCTCCACAACCCATTTCCGGACTGGCCGACTGCTTAACCTAGCCTGCCAGGTGAGTGACATCGCCGTCGCCGGCAAGAAGGGTTTCTTCTTCTCAGCAAGCCGTGATAGGTGCCTCGCGAGGTCTGTTGTGGGTAAGACATAACTTGGTGTCGTGATGAGTATAGAGGCTTGCATAGTGAGCAGTGGAATCTCCTTCTGGTCCCTGCAAAAGTGTAGTCTATTATGGAAAGAACATGTATATATAAATACATATATATATATATATATATTTATTTATTTATATTTATATACACACCCTTAGGTTTCTCGATTTCTAGAGACAGAGCAGAGGTGATGTATCCCCGGAAAGCACTGCAGATGTAGAGCTCGACGCATCCAAAAGAAGAAACTGTACTAATTACACACGCACACATGTAGAATCAATGTAGAAACACATATTCGGTACCAGTATGTTTCTTCTTGCACCCTAATGATAGGGTTTAGCAAGCCCTAAAACCCTAAACCCCAAACCCTGAACCTACCGCTCCCTTTTTCAGGTCTTTGCGACGGTGGGACTGCCGCAGCTTGGAGAGCGACCTCCAGCTGCCGCATGCGCAAGGCATCTACGCTGTTTTCAGCCGGTCGGGTTAGGGTTTAGGGTTTAGGGATCACTGGG